AAAGAAGCTGGTGCAGCCCCTGGCTCCAAGCCCACAGTGCACAGAAATCCTCACCTTGTACACAAATCCAGGAGGCACCCCCATGCCTTCCCCAGGGCAGTGCACAGCAGCTGGAGCCACCCCCCTGCCCCTCCCAGATGAGCTGCCTGTGGCTCCATCTTGCACCCTGCCCCGCCCTAGCTGGGCAGCACCTGCCGCTGCCCCAGCCCCACTCCCTCCCTCACTGTGGGGGCCTCTACCTTCCACCCCCATGTTCTTTCCCTCCCCCATACCCCTTCCCCCCCAAAGACTTACTGGTAAGAGGCTTCTCTCCAAGCTGCTGGACTGCATTTCTGGCTGTGCGCATGCTGTGGCTGCATGCACGCATGCAACATTTATCAGTGACGTTATCGTCTATACCAGCCAAAAAAGCCAATTGCCAATAATGTCAATTTTCCTTTTATCCAGTGCTTATCCAATATGCACTGATATATCGGTGCACTTCTAGATATCATTTTAACAATTATAGATAAAATAAATTGTATACTAAATAACAAACTCTACTATAACATATTTTATTTCAAAGAGTAGTTTTTGTCCTGATTTATGTTTAATTGAGTAGTGTATATAGAAGTGATTGCGTAATACCTCAAGTCTTAGTCTTGTATATTGTGTGTGGGGGAAGGAGTGGGGGCTGGCTGGGTGTGTGTATGTGTGTGTATGGGTGGGGGGCTGCCCAGGAGCTAAGTCCCAGGAGCTGACCAGGGATGGTGGGGGCAGCAGGCACATGCAGCAGAGCTCACCCAGATGGTGCAGTACAGGTATGGACCCCAACCCTTCTCCCATATCAGGCCCACAGCCTCCCCTGCTGGACGCTGCATAGGGCCAAGCCTCACCTGCTCCCGCCTGGGGCAGCCTGCACTGTGCTGCTGCCCATGCCTGCCAGTGGCCCCAGGTAGTGCACATAGCTTCCCAATGAGGCTTCACCTGCTGCTCCTGCAGCTGTCCAGGTACAGCTTGGCTCTCCCCACCTTCAGTGGCTCCTTCCCCTGATGTACCACTCTGGGCAGCAGGTAGCACAGGGCAGCTATGGGGACATGTTTCAGGCATTACATGCTCAGAAAGGCAGGGTGGAGCTACAGCTGGGTGGCTCTTGCCCCAGTGTCCTAGGCTCCAGCTAAAAGTCCCAGCTCAGCCACCTGCAGGTGGCTGCTTATCACACTAGAGGAGCAAAGTGGGTAGAAAGTGGCCAGGAGCTGGAGCCCGGCTCACATGGGCAGGAGCTGCCTGGTTGCAGCTTTCCCACCTGCCTGGCTGGGCATGTGGTGCCCATTGTGCATCATAGAATCATGGAAAATTAGGGTTGGAAGGGACCACAGGAGGACATCTAGTCCAAACTGTTGCTCAAAACAGGACCATCCCCAAGTATATCATCCAGCCAAGGTTCTGTCTAGCCTCATCTTAAAAACCTCCAAGGATGGAGATTCTACCACCTCTCTGGGTAACTGGTTCTTTACTACCCTCCTAGTGAGAAAGTTCTTCCTAATATCTAACCTAATCTTCCCTTGCTACAGCTTGAGACCACTGCTCCTTGTTCTGTCATCTGCCACCACTGAGAACAGTCTATCTCTGTAGCCCCACGTATGCTACCACTTCCCCATGGTACCTGCTGCCCAGAACGGTGTAGCAGGGCAGGAGGAGGAACAGCTGGAGGTGGGGGGAGCTAAGCAGTACCTGAGTGGCTGCAGAAGTGTGAGCAGCCCTGCTGGGAAGCTGTGCACATTGGCTGGAGCTAGGATTGGGACTAGGGCCTTTAGTGGGCGTGGGCTGCATATGAGTGGGAGAGCAGTGCAGGCTGCTTTGGGTGGGAGCAGGCAGGGCTCAGCCCTATGCGGAGTGCTGTGGGAACATGATACAATTAATTGGCGGGTTGGATCTAGCCTGTGAGCTATATTTTGTGCACCCCTGAGTTAGGGTGACTGGCTAAGGCAGGGGTGTGGGGAGTTAGGGACAAATCGAAACAAGGATAACAAAAAGAAATATGAGGAAGTGATTATATAAATGAGTTCTGATGATATTTGAAGTTTCATGATGGCTCAAGTTTATTGTTGTTTAAATAGAACCACAAACCTTAGTAATATATCTCGTGTGGGAAGTGTTACCAGTAGTTTTAGTGTGAGTCTGCCCTAGCGACCTGATAAACACATTATACTCAAAATGACAGCAAACCTATTCCATTTTTAGCCCTCTACTAGAGCTTCTGCTGGAGTGTGGCTGTATATGCTAGCAATGGGAATGCCTGAAAGACGGCTGAGAGGTACTGGATATTGTGTATATGCTCACTTTTTTAGATTTGCATTATTTATTTTCAGGGTGTGAGAGAGACTCCATGATACAAAAGGAAATAAACTGATTTCTTGGTGCATTTCTGCCTACCTGGACCTATCACTACCATATGGACTTGCACAAACCACCTGTGAATTCGATTAGAATTTGTACTGTTTCTGTGGCTGTTCCTCCTAAGAGAAATCAAAGCCTGTTTGCATCCAGTGCTTCGGCTCTTGGCTTCACTGGTTCTAACGCAGTTCTGTATTTCTACATTCAATCTATCTACATTTCTATAGCGTAGATGTTCTATATGAATCTTAATGAATTAAAGTGGAGAAAACAGGAAAAGTTCAATGTTTTTATATTAGTTGTATATACAAGTTGTCATTTAATAAAGTTAATATTCATATAAAACTATGAGGAGGACTATTTATTTTTTAAAGTAGGTGATACCCACACTTTTGAAGTGATCATACCACTATCATCTTGCCCTCCTCTTTAATTCCAGACTGATCTTTTTAAATTCCAGCGTGACAGTTGATATCTTTTAAGCCACTAGTGTCAGACACCAATGTTTTCTATCAATTAAAAGCAAACTTCAGGCTCTGGTTAGATGGTATAATATACAAACATTGGTTTCCAGTCCTAGCAGCTCTTGAGAGAGGTGGTAAGTTGAAGTGGAGACAGAAAAAGTTAATCGGTATCTGCAGATTGTTAAGAGCAGAAGCAAACTCAGAATCTTTTCTAAGGCTGTAAAGAGAGATTCCATTTCTGCTGGGAGAGAGCTTTTTGTCCTGAGATCCTGCAGACATACACATCTATTCTCCCAGTTCAAGTAGTTGTGAACTATTTGGGATAAAATATGCTAATGCTTTTTCCTGGCATGTAGTGCTGTGGTAAGGTTTTTGAAGTTAATTCCAGGGATAAGCCTGTCACTCTGTACTGGAGGAGGAGCAGCAATACAGCTTGGAAGGGCTGTGTGTGTAAATGGCCATGCCATTCCTGTTTTGACCTGGGTCAAAACCTTGGACAGTTAGTACTATTTGAGATGGGACATTTAAAATCTTAATGTCACACATGTTGTAGATGGTCTAATCTCATTAACTCAGTGGCTGACAATGTTTTCTACTGATGGGCCAGAATGGCTCAGCTCGGGTCTGAACTAGGCAGTAGCTAGGCTGCTGCTGTCACTGCTTCTCTCCACTGCTGCTTCCTCTGCCAGCCAGCTGCAGCATAGCATGGGTCAAGCTCCTCGCTACCCAGTAGGGATGTGTGAAGTGGGCCCTATTCAATTTGGATTTGGATTCGGCCCAAATCGGGGTTAGTGATTCAATTTGTCAGTTTGGATCACTGTCCCTGATTCAATTCGGCTGAATCTGAAGATTCGATTCTGATTCAGAGAATCAGTGATTTGGCCATAGACACAGCTTTAAGTGTTTTTCTACGTACCATGAGGTACCAGGTGCAGCTTGTGAACACTGTGGTGCTGGAGTGGATGGAGCGTCCCACCGGAGCGCGGGGGGTGGGGCCCCCCCGCATGCTTGGTGGTGATCCCAGAACCGGAAGTATGATCGCCCTCAGGGGGACCCCAGGTGCCCCTTCAGGCCGAGGAGGCACCAATCGCCGAGCCAGAGAGGCACGGGGGTGGGGCCCAGCGCGCTCTCTGACAGACCCGGAAGTGGAACAGAAGTGCTTCTGGTTCACTTCTGGGTCTGCTGCCGAGTGTGCTGGGGAGCTCCCCACACTTCTGTGGGACGCTCCATGCGCCCCAACATCGCAGCATTCACGAGCTGCCTGCTACCCAGAGGTATGTGGAAAAACATTTAAAGCTGTGTCTATGTCTGAATCGTCAAATCTCTCCGAATTGATTTGGAGAGTTCCAATTCGATTCGGAGAGATTAAAGGGTACTCTGATTCGATTTTGGATTCAGAGATCCAGCCACCGAATCGGGCTGAATCTCTGTCAAATCGAATCAGCGACCAAAGCTTTACACAGCCCTGCTACCCAGCTGTCTGGCTGTGGGATAGTGCCATGCTATATGAATAAGCCCCTTGCTGCTGAATGCTGTGAATCCCCAGCTTCTTAAGCCATATGTGGCCTGGAGGCTGTAGATTGCTGATTTCTGCATTAAACTATCAAAGAGTTGCTTCTGCCTTGAAGTCACAGATCACCCAGTGTGTGTTTGTCATTTGTTCTTGACTTACGTGAACATCAGTCCAGTGTAACATTTGCTTCTTACATCGAATTCTAAGTTGATCTTTTCTTATGCAACAACATCAATAAGTTAACATGTAATTTTACATAGTATATAGTTTGAAGTCCATTTTCTTAATCATTTGTATCATTGTAGAAGTTGGCATCTTGTGGTCACAGTTATTTTCATAGATGAAAGCATAAAATATTTCATCATGAGTCACTGGCAGCAGTTAGCTCATGACTGCAGTAGCATTTAAGAAAAAAATAAGAATATTTTAACTTTCATTTCTTCAGCTATCTACCATGCCTTTTGAAATGTTGTTTGTTAGGTATACATGAAACTCATTTCTCTAAAAATCTACACATTTTTAATGGATTCCTATACTAACTTTTAATTGTTTACATACTTCAGTGTTTTGTTTTTAAAGTTCTATATCTTTATACTATTGTAATAATAAACTAATTAAATTTTACCTTTTTTTTCCCTTTCTTTTAGCTCCAGTAATAAACCGATTCACCAGACGGGCCTCAGGTAGGTTTGATTAAAGTTACATGTTTTAATGGTCTAACATTAAAATATAATGATGATTCTGACAATTGCTATAATAGAGGTGGCCAAATAATAATTTTTATAAAATGGCTCTTCAGGAGCTGCATGTAAACTGTCTAGGGCAGCATTTAGCTTGTGAGTTGTGGTTTGGCAACCCCTGTACTGTAAGGTTAATTAGATATGTTCAAAGAAAGCTAACTTGAGTTTACTCCATGTTAATTATGTGGTGTGTTGAAATTTATGTAGAATCTTTCCAGTGTTACAAAATTGTTCAAAAATTGAAGCTTTTTTAAAAAAAAGTATGTTTCTAGTCCTAATGGGTACTAAGAAGACACTGAAAATCTGAAGTGAATGAAAATGATTGCAATGTTGTCTTGCTGAATTAGTAGGCAACCTGAAACAGAAGTTCTGAAATGCAGTACTGTTAACTCTCAGCATTCTAAAACAGTGAATCAACTCCAAAATAATTAGGTGGAAAAAAACACAACTTCTAAGTTTTTTAATTAATACTTTGGGATAACAGCCTTGGGGATTCATGTTTCTAAGGTATTTTTGTAGCCCTGATGGCTAACTTAGCTTTTATTTGTTTAAATTATGTGAATCCAAAAGATGTGGCTTTAAAAAAAACCACCAGATTTTGTGAGACTCATGGTAGAATTGTGAGAGTTGGCAGCAATGGGCATCTGAACCAATTCCATTTGTCTTATCATGTTAAATTTGAATCCTAAGGATAACAAAACTGATATTTTCAACTGTTAGATGTCTTACTTTTCAACTGTTAGTTTTCTTACTTATGTTAGCAAAAATAATCAGGTAAAGTGCTCATTTCAGAATTCCAAGTTGACTGCCAAAATCTCTAGCTTATCTCCTGACAAGTTTTCTGTAATGCTTCTTATTTGTATATAAAAATATGTGTCATATTGAAACCAGGAATTGTGTAAAATAAATATAATGTCACATAGCAGAAGAGTGCCTGTGGTAAGTGAAGACACAATAAACAAATATAATTCATCTCAAAATACAGTATATTTTTCATGTATCTGCTAATAGATAGACTTCATAAGACACTGCATTGCTGTAGATTATGAAATATAATGATGGGTAGTAAATATGAGAACTCATAAAAGTGAAGATATTTATAGTGCTAATTAAAGTATTTGATCGCTCACTTTCCATTAGAGGAAATTTTTAACAAAGGTATGACAAATCTTTGTATTTTAATAGATGGAAACATATTAGATTCTACATTTATAGGGAAATCAGCACTTATTTTTAAGTCTTAACACTGGCAAGAAAATAAGCATGCATCAGTGGTTTTGGCCACTTTCTGCAAAAAACAGTGTTTTTTATGTTTATGAACCATTAATGCATAGTATATTTTTTTTGTCTTGTGGAGAGAAAATTTTCTTCCTGTAAATCTCACTGTTAATGCTATACTACAAATGTTTGTTTTCTTGGTAACCCATTGGACTACTCAACTAAAAGCTGCTCTGTGAACTCCTGACATGAGGAAAAATCCAAATGATGTGAGGTTTTCAGCTGCTACATGTAATTGGCATGTTTTTTGTTTTATATATGCGTCAAACATGAACAGTTTTAACCATTAAACATAACAACTAATTCCAACAGATATAGGAAGGATATTTGAGTATCCTTCATTGAACTAATGCAAGAACAAATACTTAGCAGAAACTCAAGAGGAAAAGCTCTAAGTACCAGGTCATAGTTTAGTTATTAATCAGTCTCTTCTCTTGAAGGTGACATACTTCACTTTGCATTTAATATTTACTGGATACAGAGTAGTGGGGAGGCTCCTCTTCTGTTGGGAACAAGGCTCAAATCCAGGGCCCAAGGCTCAAAGCTGAGCTGCGCTGCACCCATGCAATGCAACAGCTGCTGCACAGGTGCCAAGCGGAAGGGGGAGGGAGGTGATCACCACTGCCCCCCACAGCCCCTCGCTGCATGGGGGGTGCTCTGTCAGGAGCCCCCAGAGGCCCTGATCACCGCTGCTGCAGCAGGTGAGTGCGGGGCTTTTTTTTTTTATAAAGTGCCAGAGGGATGGGGCCGGGCAGGG